GAAGACCTAGAGAAGTGACCATTTTTGTTGAGAAGAATGGTTTCAATGGCTAGAGGCAATAGCTACGCATCCCCACCCCTCAGTCGTAGAGTTCTTTCATATTTATAGCCACCGTGCATTGGGTCTCTGAGGATGTAAATCCCTGTCAGGGGAGACTGACCAGCTTTCTCGCATCCTTATGAGGAGTGACTGGTGAATTCTAATTGCTGATCTTTTGGTTGACTGTTGGACATGTAGTACACTATGCCACCAGGCACTTCTTGGGCAGGTAATATTCTTAATTGTCAGACTTGAAGATTATAATTGTCTCTGCTTCCAAGTTCAAGAATTCGGCCCTAACAAAGCCCTAGAATGTTACTAGTACAATCACAATCCCTTATAGTTTTTCCCTTTAAGTAGAAAACTTCTAGGTGACTATTTGCCTATGTGTTCAGATAGAATTTATGCAGACTTAGAATCAGGGAGAGTTACTAGGTGCTAAAAAAATGATCTGTTTTGAATTTCTGGCAATTCCCTGTAAACATACTGCTCCAGTCATTTTTAATTGGGTTGAGAAAAGGCCAGGGCATGAGGGATACCAGTGCTGACATCAGATTGATCTTGGTGGAAAACAGAGAATGCCAGAATGATGCTTTATTGACTATGCAAAGGCATCCAACTGAGTGGATAAAAAAAAATTATGGATAGCATTTTGAAGAATGAGAATTCCAGAACACTTAATTATTCTTGAATTCTTAGTGACAGTTTAAGTCGTTGAGTGGTTTCTCAAAACAGAGGTAGGTTTCTCAGAGTTAATGCCCTCAATTGACTTTTACTCTTTCCTGGTATGTAGTAAAAAATACTAACTGCCTCTTTGAAAATGTGATTATTTCTTGTGTGGATGTGAATTATCTACTTATGTGACATTCCATTTTGGTTTTATGGCTACTGTGCAGATACACTGACATGGTCAAACAAACAAACAAACAAACAAACAAACAAACCCAAAACCTAAGAAACAGACTCTGAATATATACACATATACGTGTGTGTACACTCATGTAGATATCCGAGTTTTTGACTATTAAGCATTTAGGTTCTTTAAAGCCTTGCTTTCTGTGTAATAATGAGTTGTTTCCGACTCTTTGTACTTTCTTTGTAGTAAACATTAAGTCTTCCTTTGTCAGGTACTAGTAGCTTAAAGCACTGTTGCTTATTTAGTTATAAGTCTGGTGGAGAGGTGGTGGAGCACCTCTCAAGTTTGGGAAAGGGAGTAATAGGGCTTGTTTGTGTTTACAGGGTCATCCAGCCAAGTTGCCTGAAAGTCAGCCTGAAGGCCGAAGGGTTATTTATAAAGAAACATTAGCTTACCCTTTCTCCACTTTGGAGTCATTTTGATGTGTTAATATTCAAACTTTTTTTTAAAAAAAACCAACACAAAACACCCTAAAACTTAAAATATAGTAATTGAGTCCTAGTTTTATTCTTGAGCTTTTCTTGCTTTGTAGAAAGCCCTTCCCGGGCAGGGCGCAGACTAGGGAGAGGGAGAGAGCGGAAGTGAGAACCATCTGTAAGACTCTCCAGCGAGGAAGGAGCTGTGACATATTGACCACACTTGCTCTTCTCAGAGGCTTGTTGTTCTAAGATCAGAGCCTTAGAATTCTCTGTGGGGGACTTAGGTTTCAAAGGTCTGAATCACATCCTCTAATTCCCCCTGCGAAGCACCAGTTGTATTTTTAAAATGAGACTTGAATTTGATGTGATAAACTTGTTTTGTCTTTGGAATTCTAAAGGAAAAGATCCTGAGTTTTGTTTGTGTTCTGAATTTGAAAACCGTATTTGAATAGGTACATAAAACCCCTTGATACCTGTAAGGAGGAGGTACCTTTGGATCTGCCTTAAGACGGTTATTGTAGAATGAGTATCAGGATGCAGGAGGGGCGGGAGAGGCTGGAAGCAGAGGGATGTGGATGTACAGGGGGAAGAGGGGATTAATTATTGGATTGTACAATTTGACGGGAGAGGGGAGGGAAATTGAAAGAATTTGTTCGAATTTGTGTTAAAATTTTGTAAATAGTAAAAAAAAAAAAGAAGATTCCATTAGCTTAATCCAAGCTACCAAGATTGTCTCTAACGCTTAAATTTAGGCTATTCTTTTTTAATGCAGTTTGTGAAGACAGGACTATTACACTCTTGCTTTGAACTTTAACAAATTTGGGGGAGAATGTTGTTGTTAGGTGCTGTTAGGTAATGCATTTTAAAACTCATTGCAGTGAGGAGAGGATTGTTGTTATTGTTGTTATGTCCCATCGAAATGCTTGCGACTCAGTGACCCTGTGTATAAGAGCCCTAAACCCTACTCTATTCTGTACCAACATTATTGTCCCTGAGACATCTACCCCCATTACCCCAGTGACTGAATCAATCCATCTCATTGAGGGTCTTCCTCTCCTGCACTGTCCGTCCTCCCACCCAAGCATGACGTCCCTCTCTAAGGTCCGGTCTCTCCTTGTAACATGTCCACAAAATATGTCAGACGAAGCTTCAGAATCCTTGCCTCCATGGAGCAGCCTGATTTCACCTTCTCCAGGACAAACCTGTTTGTTCGCATAGCAGTCCATGGCAAATTCGGCACTCTTCTCCAGCACCATAGCTCAAAGGCATCCATTCTCTTTCTGTCATCCCTTGTCATTGTCCAGCTCTCTGACACATAGCAAGCAATTGCGAAGACTATAGCCTGGATCAGGTGCACCTTGGTCTCCAGACTGATGTTGTTCTTCAGTACTCTGGAGAAGTCTGCGACAGTTGACTTTGCCAATGCAATTTGTCTCTGGATTTCCTGGCTGTTCGTACCAAGAGTGTTGATTGTGGAGCCAAGCAAACGAAAACTCTTAAAAATCTCAATCTCTTCCCCATCCATAATGATGCTATCAGTTGGCACAATGGTGAGAATCTTTGTTTTCTTGATGTTGAGCTACAATCTGTATTGAAAGCTGCAGTCCTTGATCTTACGCAGCAGGCGCTTCAGGTCCTCCTCAGTTTCAGCAAGCAGGGTTGTGTCATCTGCATAACACAGATTGTTGATGAATCTTCCTCCAATCCTGATGCAACATTCCTCCTGCTTGTACATACCCGACTCCCAGAAGTTGATCTCTTGTGCATATAGTTTGAAAAGGTATGAAGGAGAAGATTAGGAAGGGAGAAAGTATTGCTTGCATATAGAAAACCCCAATGCGAAGTTCCCAAAACTCGAGGAATACTCAGTATTGATGTTAGGGAGGAATAGACTGGCTTGGCAGATACTGAAGTTTGGATGAAGAAGCAGAAATTATTTTGACTAGAATGGTTTGGTTTTGGGTGGTTTCCCCACTTGTCTTAGCCTTCCTGTTGCTTGCCACTTCATTGGCCCTCTTGGCTTTGGGGTTGCCATAAAGTTGGAAGCAGGAGTGGCATCCACTTTCTAAACATGCCTCTAGAAACTCTGTGAACTTTGATAAATGTTGATAGTTATAGAAAAGCTTCAGGCCTCTTGTTCATAGGGGCCTATGAGTCATGCTTGACTTGAATGCCATCAGCAACACAACAAAACTGGAAGCAGGGTTCTCTATAGTGGACAAGTTTCAGTAGGGTTTCCAGACCATGGCAGACTGCTGAGAAAACGTAGCCATTTAAACATTGCCTGCTGTGGTGCCAGAAGATGACCTCCTGAGGTTGAAGGTGTTTCTGTGACTACAGTAGTGGGCGTGAGCACAGCCATGGTTGTGGGGCTCAGGCAGTGTTTCATTCTGTTCTCTGTGGTTACTATGAGTGGGGGGCCCACTTGATGCCTTCCAACTAAGTGTTCCTTGTCTTCAAATGACTAAATTACTCTCTAGATTGATACTATGCAAGTTCTCTAAAATGTGTATTCTGTAGTTGGGATAATTCCCTCTGCCCAGACTCTGGTGACCTAGTGGATAAGGAGTTTGGCTGCCAAACCACATGCAGGTAGTTTGAATCCACCACCTGCTCCGAAGGAGAAAGATGGTCAGTTCTTATTGGTGTGATTTACAGCCTCTGAAAACCCACCAGAGTGTCAGCCATGACTTCATTCTGATTCAACGGCAATGCATTTTTAAAACATTCCTTGCTCATAAGTGATACTCAAGAATTATTTCTTGGATTCATGAATAATGAATTATTTTAAGATAATTTCTTAAATGCTTGCATCCATGGTATGAATTTAGCTTGTTAAGCTATTAATCAGGAAGAGGTTGATTCTGATCTAATTGTTATTTTCTTTCTCTATGATATGGATGCATCCCTAACATGCATTTGTATGTATGAACACTGTGGTCTCTGTATTTATGTCTGTGTCTATGTGTATATGTGTATGTTATTTGTTGTTGAATGCCATCAGGTCAGAACTTGCTCACAACTGACTCCACCTGTCTTAAATCTCACGAGAGGAGATTGCCCGTCTTTCTCCTTAGGAGAAGGTGATGGATTCAAGCCATGTACCTTGAATTTGGCACACAACCTCTTAACCACTGGTCCACCAGAGCGAGCTGCCTATACTTGGAGTGTAATGAATATTTAGGAGTCTTGGTGGTGCATTGGTTAAATGCTCACCTTCTACCTGAAAGGTTTGTGGCATAAACCCACTCAGAGACTTCTTGGAAGAAAGGGCTTGATTTTCTACTCCAGTGAAGATTACCGCGAAGAAAACCTCCAGGGCAGTTCTTCCCTGTCACACAGGGTCATTGCTCGGAAATGGGCTCAGTAGTGGCTAACAACAAAATGGTATTTGTTGCTTCTGTTTCCATACTGTGAAATAACTTTGAATCTTACTTTCCAAAATAGATTTGTATGTTGATTCAAAATAAAAACCTGTATTTTGCCCAGGTCTTCGGGTGCTGGAGGAGGTGGTCGGGAAGTAGTCTTCTGCTGTTGGGCTTCTCTCCGCTCTGCGGCAGAAACGCCTTCCACACAGGGCATCAATGCAAGCCTGAAGAGGAAAAACAATTCCTTCCACCTAAGCCATGGCTTATCAGTTATACAGAAATACCACCTTGGGAAACCGTCTTCAAGAGAGCCTAGATGAGCTCATTCAGTCTCAACAGATAACCCCCCAACTTGCTCTTCAAGTTCTCCTTCAGTTTGATAAGGCTATCAATTCAGCATTGGCTCAGAGAGTCAGGAACAGAGTCAATTTCAGGGGAATTAAAAATCATTTCAAGAAACATCATATTACTTCCCACAACCTCTTGGATAACCTGGCATAGGAAGATGGAAATACCAGTGGACAGTGATGTGTTCTGCTAACTGGGCTCTTTAAATACGTACAGATTCTGCGATAATGTGTGGACTTTTGTTTTGAATGATGTTGAATTCAGAGAGGTGACAGAGCTTATTAAAGTGGATAAAGTGAAAATTGTAGCCTGTGATGGTAAAAATACTGCCTCTAATACTACAGAATGAATGGGGGGAAATGGCTTTTTTATGCCATTCTCTGTTATTACTCTTGGCCTTTTGAAGAGAAACTTAGAAGAGACTTTTTTAATTTATTCTAGCAATGCAGAAATTACTCCATTGTGCTGTGCTGTCGGAGAAGTCCAGTAGAGAGCTCGTAACTTTAGCCGCTTCCATTCACTTACTACGCAGCATGAAGAAACCCAATTTTTTTTATTAACAAATCAAAAGTTGTTACCTTCCTATAAATATTCTTTAATAAATGAATTTTAAGACATAAAAAAAACCCCTGTAAAGTTAGCCCCAGCTTTATTGAGCACCTGATATATTTTGGATACAATTTTGGGTATGATGTATACATTTTATCCCAGGAAGGCTTACCGTCCAAATTGAAGCCTGGAGAAGGCGATAATTTGTGGTCATTCCTTTTCCATTACAACACATTCCCTGTTGTCTCTCTCAGTCTCTGTCTCTTTCTCAAAAAACCAGAGCATTGTCTTTTGGGTTTGCAATTCAAATGCAACCTCTGGTTGGGTCTGCAGTACAGGTTGCTGTACGAGGCCACTGTTCAGTGACTTCTACCAGGGTGTAACTGCTCCCCCGCCCCTCCCGCCCAGTTTCACCCAGGATGCTGGACGGAAAAGCTCCCATGTCTTTGCAGGCACCTGGGGGCATTTAAAGTTTGATGATGCAGAGTGGTTTACACTCAAATGTTACAGAATGAAAGGTTAGTTTTACTGAACTGTCTGAGCCATTTGGAATGTGGGTGTAAAGTAACATAGATCAGAATGTGTGTTTTAAAGTTAGACAAATGTTAGATGCAAAAAGTGGTATTTGAGTGGTGCTCTTATAGGCTTTAACTCAGGAAGGAATATGTGCAAAATCAGTTTGCATTTTGAGAAACTGAAACCAGTCCTTTTACTTACAGTCCTTTTAATTTAATAAGTAAAGCATTAAGTAGAACATAACGTACTCAGGACAATTTGGAAAGTCTCTAGGGGAATTTATCTTAGGATGGGGTTTTCTGGGATTTGCCCTTAGACGCCTTTGGGTCATCCTTGACTTAATGACACCCCTACAGCAGAAGGGATGCTACCTGGTGCTGTACCATCCCCAAGACCATTGCTAATTACACCATACTAGGGTTTAGTTGCCTGCAGTAAAGTTATAAAACTTGACTCTGAGTTAATTGCCATAAGCCCCTTTTCCAAAAAGTTTTAGAACATTTGTGCTGACACTTTGCTTAAATCACATTTATTTTGAGTGGGAAAGGCTACTTTTATAGATGGTCGTTCTCTAATTATCTTTATGCCTGGTAATAAATGATGATCATTAAAATTCTTTTGTTAACAGAGATACTAAAAATACTGTAAGGGCTTATTGAATTTTAATTAAGAACTCTGATTGTCTACTTGTTTTTCACTCCTCCAAATCAGGTGTCTTTTGTTAATTTCTAGGCAGAGGAAATAACACAATTTCCTCCTTGCTCTGTTTCCTGCCAGCTTCTATCTGTTGGAGCCCAGTGTTGTTTGGGGTCCAGATTTGGCAGCTTTCCACTGACATTCCTCTCAGTAAATATCATCTTTTTCTTTTATGAATATTTGTGTGCTTCAAGTCCTCTATGCTCTCTGTCTGATCTAAGCTATAGTATTTTCAGACTCTTTGTATGCATCTGAAAGTTGCACAGTAAATGAGGAATGGCAGAAGAAGAATTGATCCCTTTGAATTGTGATGTTGGTCAAGTGTGTTGACTATCCAACGGACAGCCAAAAGAACAAAGAAGTATGTCTTGGAGGGAAACTTTGCATTTCATACTTGGAGTATGTTGTTAGGATGTTCCTGTTCTTGGAAAAAGATATCTTGCTGGGAAAGGTTGAGGGCCAGAGAAAGAGAGGAAGACTCTCATTGTGGTGTTAGTTTAAAAGTTGATTTTTCTAGCTATTACGTTAGTGCACTCTGTTCTGCAGCTAACTTAACTGCAGACACATAGTCTTGCAAATCATCAGCATCTGTGGGAATGAGATAAGAGAGACAGAGTGAGAAAGAGACAGAGGGAGAGAGAGAGACAGAGACAGAGGGAGACAGAGAGAGAAGGGGGGAGAGAAAGTGTGTGAGTGCACTGTCTATACTGAACAGCAAGATTTGAGGAAGACTGGAACAAAATCCTGGTGAGAGCCAGACCAGAGTGAGATGCTGACAAATGACAGTGGCAGAGGGACTGTGGCAGGGTGTATCCTGGGGCTTTTTGCATTTGTGCCGGCTACAGTTAAAGTTTTGTTTGCCTGATGATTGAAGGGAAACCTGATTTATAACTAACTGCTCTGACCAAACCTTGCTGGATGATTGAGGAAACCAGAGGCTTCTGGTTTGTGTTGCTGAACTGAAATCAAGGCTTTTACTAATTTCTTAATTATGCTTTGCTGTTAAACTGGTTTGGGACTACTGGTCTAAACCTGGACTTACATTGTGAGATATTCTTTGCCTCTCCCACTCCTCAATCTGTTTCCCTAATAAACCCCACTCTTGGGTACCACAACTGTGAGTAAAGTCTGTGAGTTAACATCGAATACTGAACCCAGTGTTTGGTGGAAATAGGTGCAGGAGCATGGGAGTGGCATATCTCACCTAGTAGCTGTCTGTTTGCTGCTATGGATTATTATTGATGGGGACAGTTCCCCTTTATGAAATGGATAGAGGTCAAATTAAGTCACTCCCACATTGCTCCTTTTGTGCTCAACAAAGTGGACTGACCACAGTGATTTTGACAGTTGTTGTTATGTGACTCATAGTGACTCTATGTACAACAGCCCTAAACCCTACTCTATCCTGTGCCAATCGCACTGCCTCTGACACACCCATCCCGATTACCCCAGTCACTGAATCAGTCCACCTCATAGAGGGCCTTACCCTCTTGTGCCGTCCCTCCACCCTCCCAAGCATGATGTCCCTCTCCAAGGACCTGTTCCTCCTTACAACATGTCCAGAGTATGTTAGATGGAGCCCCAGAATCCTTGCCTCCAAGGAACAGCCCGGTTTAGCCCCCTCCAGGATGGATCTGTTTGTTTTCTTGGCAGTCCATGGCACCCTCAATACTCTTCTCCAGCACCACAGCTTAAAGGCATCAATTCTCCTTCTGTCCTCCCTAGTCATTGTCCAACTCTCTGATGCATAACAAGTGATTTTGACAGTAGGCTTGAGCATATCAAGAGATTGTGAGAATGGTGCAGGGCAGGGCAAGGATCATTGTTCACAGGACTGCGGATGAGTCGTAGTCAACTGGATGTTTGTTACCTAACAGCAACTGCAGCAGCAGGGCTTAGGAAGGAGCTCTGGTGGCAAAGTCAGGAGGGAGCTACGCTGCTCATTCAGAGACAGCACCTCTCTGGTCTTTACATACCAAACTCCAGACCAAATCCACCAACTGCTGTGAAAGAGAAAGCCTCCTGTGTGACTTACAGCCTCTGAAAACCTGTTGGAAGGTGAGTTATGAGTTTGATCTGATTTGATGGCAATGAGTAGTGAATTACATTTTTATTGTTTTTACCCATTTTTTAGAACATTTAGAACATTCCTACTAGAGTTTGTCTATTTTCTTTTGACTTAAATGATGCCCCTATGTGTGTCAGAGTAGAATAGTGTTTCATAAAGTATTCAGTAGCTAATATTTTAGAAGTGGATCATCAGTCCTTTCCTCTGAGTCCTTCTGACTAGATATAAATTGGTAACATTTGGGTTAGCATATTGTTAAATAGGGAACACTGGTGGCCAAGTGGCAAGAAACTGCAATCTGTCTGGCGCTGAGTTGGCTCCATCTCATCCCTTACCCTCCAGTGGGTTTTTCGAGGCCACAAATGGCATAGATATGGCCCATGTTTGTCCCACAGAGCAACTGATGGATTTGAACCTACTGCTTTTGGATTGGCAGATCAACTTCTTATCTACTAGGTCACATACCCACTCAAAGCATCAAGCATTTGCACTTCTCAGGAATGTATAAACATCTGGAAGGTAGATAATCTTTATTGTCTAGGATCATTACCTGTGCAGCAGGCCTCCTGTGAACTCAGATGGACACCACTCTGTGAATGAATAACCTCAGTTTGCACCTATGCCTTCGCTTACTCTTCCTTTGTAGTTTCTAAGCGATTAATTCAAGACAATAGAAACCATTTACACTGAGGACAAAGCCTCTCAGCAGCTAGGTGAGCCTCCATATTTTTAATGATTTGCTAGCACCAGGCAGGATGCTGCCCCTGTCACTGGAGGACTTATCCCCTCTGGTGTTTTGTGTGCTAAGCTAGTCTGGGTGCTGTTTCCTTTGAAGCCCCATTTACAGAGGGCAGTCATCAGCAGATCAGGGATCTCTGCTGAATGGCCAGGAGGGGCAGCCTTCACGCTCTGAGGGCAGATGTTTCCTCTAAATGGCTTCATCTAATTAACCCAATTCTTTTCCTTCCTAGAATAATTCATTCTCCCTAGGAGCGCTGGAGATGAATGGTGTTGGGCTGGTAACTGTAGGGATGCGATCACTCCATGTCAGGAAGCTGGGCAGTCACCTTCCACAAAGACTCACAGCCCTGGAAGCCTGTGTATTGGTATTGACACAGTAGCAGTGGGTTTGATTTTTTAAAAGCCTCTTAAGGAGTCCCTAGTGGGGAAAGAATTCTGGTGCCAACCCAAAGGCGGATGGTTCGAACCCACCAACTGCTTTAAGGGAGAAAGATGGATAGTCTCCTCCCGTGCTGTTTACAACCTCTGAAAACCTGCTGCAGGGTAAGCTATGGATTCATTCTAATTTGACAACACTTAACAACAGCAATAAGGAGCATTAGTGATGCAGTGGTTAAAACTCTCAGCTTCTATCCAGAAGGTTAGCACTTCAAAGCCATCAGCCGCCGTTCTGCAGAAGAAAGATGAAGCAGTATGCTTCCGTGTAAAGATCGTTGTTGTTATGTGCCGTTGAGTCACCCGTGACTCATAGTGACCTTGTTTACAGCAGTACTAACCCC